TTCGTAAAACAACATCACTATGAAACATGCTACCACGTGATTGTTTCCCATATGGGTATAACCTTAAACTTTTCAAGTCTAAGGTCAACAAACATCTGTCCTCACTGGCTGTACAGTAACCCAAAACATTTGAGTGACTTCCATGAGCCTTTTGTGGTGAATCACGAAGTAAATAATTAAAAAAATATGAAGTAAAAGTAAATAGCATGAAGTAAATAATAAAAAAAATAATAATGTGCATCATCCGGGGCATACTAGCAGATGGCATGCCAACTACACACCAATGCAGCCAGTGGATCGTGAGCTATAGCTGCGAACACATTGCATTGGCAATTTTTCAGAGGTCCGCCATGCTGTGACTACCAGGATCAGAACATCTGCTTGAGAAAACCGCACATCCATAACATCGATGGAATACATGTACAAACATTCCAGCAGAATAGGGATTTTGCTAAAATATTACATGTAGATAACCTAAGAAAATAGCTACAACATAAAAAGAACAATGTTCACTAACTAGAGGGCAGACAGTTTCTATTACATTTGGCCATAGGAACACATTGCTTAAATACACTTATTATAGAAGTCCTCATGAAAGTACTTGCCCATATTTCAATCTCAAAAATTTTTCTGCACCAGGTAGCCACAAGGGTCTGATTCCCAAAAATTGAAAGGAAACAGGGGGTCGACCATCTCAAATTCCCGCCACAACTGATGATAGTAACAAAACCTCAACTTTAACCTAATTTTTCATGGTATCCATCCGCCTGGCCTGACAAGACCTAACCACTCACATCTCTCATTACACCCACTAAACTGATAAAATAAACAAAACTTGACCAAAGTAGGAAAGTTTAGACCCTACCTGTGCCTTCCAGCCCAAAAATCTCCAAAATGGAGCAAAAACTTTCAAGAGAAAGAAGGATTTTCAAAGGTATTAACTAGGCACTACAATCATGTTCCCATTTTGAGGCCTCTACTGCACAACACAAATGTGGTGTCTGCCCTAGACCATTCCAGCAGACAACGTAGGAAACTATGTCCCCATGCAGCAAAGGAATTGCGAGTTATGGCTGCAACAACTGTTCATCAATTTTAATACTCTGACAGAGGTCTTGACCTCCTTCACGGAGTAATGAGTACTACCTACAAATGTACATGTAGCTCTGGTATGAATGAGATCACAGTGGATCATAAAGGCTATGTCTTACCTTTCTTGTACTTAATAAGTAGGTCCCAGATGCCCCTACGTGAGTATGGGTCGACTCCAGCTGTTGGCTCATCCAGAATAACTGTATGGGAGTTGGCCACAAACGCTATGGCAACTGACAACTTTCTCTTCATGCCTCCTGAAAACAGAAATTAACACACATCTTCACGTCACGGGATTATGAAAACCCAATTACGAGCAATTATTCTAGTGTAGGATTATGATAATAGTATAATCAATGTACAATGTTTAATCACCTAAGAGCACTATTTGTCATAGCATGTCATGTACAACACTGTCATCAATGATGTATTATCTTAACGCTGACTACAAAACTAAGACTTAAGCTGTAACACTATTTCTAATAAATGTTAGAATCATACTCTATTCATACATGTAGATACTCTTGCCAGTCCTCCCCAATCAAGATATCAGCTGTGTCATGTGGCTTCATCCATTATAATGATAGATAACAAAGTAAAGAACACTAAACACTACAGTTTCAGCCTGTTTTGTACTCATTAGCTTCACCAACAAGGTTTAACTTTAATCTATGTTTTCATTGCTGTGTGCCTGTCAAACTGTATGTCTGAGTTGGGTGCACAGCTCCAAATTTGGGATCACTAAGGTGCACATGTGCATGTATTACAAGCTTCGCCAGGTCATGTGCTCACAGTAATTAAATAATCACTCCTAACAAGAATGTTGACGGAAGAGCAACCAAAAGTTTGAGGTGAACTGTCTGTGTTGATCCTAAGTATCAAACTTCAGTACCTGACAGATTTTTGGATATCTCATGTCTCTTGTTGGGCAGCCCGACATCCCTCACCATTCGGTCCATCTCCTCCTGTACATCCTCTTCAGACATGCCTTTTAGTCGGCCGTAGAACCAGAGGTGCTCAGACACTGTTAAACTAAGTTTAGAATAAACAAACATATGCATATCATTAACAACTTTCAGCAAGGAAAAACATAGTACACAACCATGTCAGTCATGCCCTTCATTGTGCTTTGACACAGTTTAACTGAACAACACACCAGGTCCTGTCATTAACAACAACTTACAATCATCTTATTAAACAGAAAACAATAAACATCCACAACAGTTTTACACGTAGGTAATACATGCCTTTTAGTTAGCCATAGCTATAGAACCACTAAACCCCAGAAAATATTTCTAAACTGAAATGTTGTTAGAACTGAAGAACAAGCAAACACATACAACAACAAAGTTAACATACAACCACATCTAAAACTCTATAGAAAACAACAAACATACATGCAGTATCTCTTACATGTAATAGAAAAACAACAGACATACAACCGTGTCTAGAACCTTTTAATTATATCAACTCAGGGCTCGAAAAACCGGGTGCATGTACACCTTAGTGCACCCAAATTTGGAGCTGTACACCCAATTTTTTTCTTTGGGTGCATTTTCATAGGTTTATGTAAACTATGTAAACATGTTAAATGTATAGTAGTATACAGCATATTCTTAATATCCAAAAGGGTAAAAAAATAATAAAATCATTGTAAATAGTACATTTATTTAGAAATGAAACATAATTAGTTATTGCTGAAATTCTACTTGATATATGGATCACCCAAAAAATTTTTGTGCATCTAATTTTTTAGGTTGGGTGCACCAGTGCACCTGTGACCCAAAATGAATTTCAAGCCATGTAACTAAAAGAACAAATCTTAGAATACAACCATGTCAAAACACTGAAATGAACTCACTTGTCAAAGAGTACGTTGTGTTGTGGACACATCCCCAGACTCTTCCTGATGTTGTCGATTTCAAACCTGATGTCTTTCCCGTCAACGTACGCTGTACCCGAGCTGGGCGGGAACAGACCTGTCAGGATCGACCTGCAAAGTTAAGAAATTCAATTATATTTCCTCTGGAAAGAACAACGTCACTTAAAGTATATCATTTGTCAAAGATTCTTCGCTGAAGGACATTGTTACAGTATAATCATTGCACATACTGTAGAACAAATGAATATCAAAAGACTATCTTGGAAATTTGTCCAATTTCTAATTGTAGTTTTTACAATGTATCAATTATTTAGTAAAATTGTGTTGGTGTATCTTCACAAGAAGGTTTGTATAAGAACATTTTGTTTAAATATATGCACACCACTGTACACAACTGAACCTGCTTCTTCTTCTAACTTCTAAACAGGATTTTGGGCTTCATATAGTGACTAAGTATACTAGTCAGATGCAACTTTTGCTTTTAATCCTGTTTTTATATTGAACTCTTCATAAAGGTCCACTTTTTATAGCCTCCGTAGCAGGCTTACAGAACTGGAGGTTTGGTGGTCTTCGGCTGTTTTCTGATTAGCCCAGTTCTAAAAAATGGGGGTAAATCAATCAGGCCGGCTATATTGTCTACATGTACATGTATACATTGTATGCAATCAGAACATAGCACGTAAAAGCTCCCAAGACCCTGAAGACCCCCCCCCCAAACCCCCAGTTTTTGGCATGCTATGGAGGCTACACTTTTTAGATTTGTACAAAAACCAAGAGACTCAAGCGATGTAACCTAATTTTCACTACAGACTATACACTGAACTGAAGTGATATTACACATAATTCTGTCTGAGAATATCATATATGGCTCACATTGTGGTGGTCTTGCCAGCCCCGTTGTGTCCTAGGAAGGAAGTGATTTGTCCTTCGTAGAAGTTGAGACTGAGTCCGTCCACAGCCAGCTTGTTCCCCTCCTTGTACACCTTGGTCAGGTTCTGAATTCCAACTCCCAGTGGCAGGTGGGTAGGCTCCTTCTCAAAGTCTTCAGACTCTGCAATTTGTAATTTTTTTTTCCAAAAAAAGTCAGATTCATAGATTTTGTTTTGATATAAACAAGTCTGAATTTGCAATAATATCAAGTACGTGTACACTGCAGGATTTACACTGCCTGGAGGCATCTACAATATTCATACATGTACATGTACATACAGTATAACAATTTATTTAGTACTGTCCTGTTGACAATGATAATCTACATGTAGGCTATCGCATTCTTCGGCCTGCTAAGGTTGCCATTGGGCACCGATTCTGTATTAACATTTTTGTTTTTGGAGTTTAAGGCAGCAGACAGAAGTTGTGAATGACTCTAAGGACATTGTAACTAAACCATTACAAATGAGCCCCTTCTTTTGTAATTTTAATTCACAACTTGATCAAAAAACTCCGGCAATCACCTTCAATATTCTGGGCATGTCGGCCATGCCATGAGTCAGGCCACTGAGTTTGGAGTCAGATCCACACCAGTAGGACTTCAGGACAGGGAAGTACCAGGGACGGGGCACTCCATACTGACCTGTAATCAAGCAACATACATAAAAATGTAATTAAACCAACTATGGCCTATTCCAAGAAATGATTCTGACAGCAAAGACAAGAATGGCCATAAAATCTTAATTAAGAGCAAAAGTGTAAGTTGCAAGGTGGTCTTGTGGTTAGGGTTGTTGACTCAGAATCAGAATCAAATCCCTGGTAGGCAAAATTGATGTTTCCTTGAAAAAGGCACTTATCTCACTTGATTCAAGTCGGTTAGGGACATCCTCTCAGATATGACGTAAAGTTACGGGTCCCATGTTTAAGGAGAGCCACACCTTGAGCTTGCTAAAGATCCCACAACACTTATCGAAAAAGAAGCAGGAGTCCCTCCCACGTTCTAAACATTACAGTCTGGTCTCACGTTTGAAGAGGTGATCACTTGTTATGTCAATCCTTTCACAAATAATGTGGTAAATCTTGATATAAATAATTGACAATAAAAGACCTAATATTAACCGTTAAAACAGTTACTATCAAATTGGATACTACTCAGAAACAGTTAGCTATTCTTTGTTGTTTTTATGGAGAGTGGACTAAGGGGAGTTGTAAAAAGTAACTAAATTATTACCGGTAGTCCTTAATTTTGTTAATATCCCTCTCTCTCTGTCTCTCTATCTATCTATCTATCTGTTTTATCGTTTATGTATGTGCTTTATCTCAGAATGAAAAAAAATTCAGTGTGAAACAAGAATTCGGAGATCTCATACCTCCATGAAGTATTGAGTTTTTAGCGACGTCTCAGGGAGAAGCCTAATGGTACAGTATTGTGTGCAGTTTGCAAGAATTCTAGGAATGGTACAGGCATTTTGTCCACAGGAATGGAATGTCCACAGGCATTTCTCTGACCCATATCTATGTCCACATTCCTGGAACCATTGGGAAGACCTGTCTGCCCTGGATGGCCCTACTTTCTGTGACCCCGGGGCTCGTTTACTATACACTCAGGGGAGGAGTGCACTGTATCTGTCTAGTCTTAACAGGTACCAAGTCTTCCTCAAAATCATGAAATGATGGCAGTACCATGCAAACAATAACCCTAACAGCAACCGCCGTTGCCATGGCAATGTATGTTTTCATTGCCAGTCTTGTTGTAAATGTTTTTTATTTGTCTCATTGACTATGGAAATAAGGTCATAATTAGCATTATATAGTTTAATTTACTAAATTCAAATGACGATATTTTTCATGTAAAATTCCTCTCTTTTGTCATACTTAATTTCAACATGTCATTAATTATGCAAATGACCTCTGCATTAACATAATATATGCATGGTGGTGTTGACCTTTAAGGAACTTACACATCTCACAAGGTATGAAATTCCCATCACTCACCAATAAAGCCACACCAATTTGATTTCTTGGTTAACGGATTTTTGAAGAAAAATAATGGAGCGGGCGGGCGAAAAAAGAATAAAAATAAAAACAGGCCTAGGCATCCTATTATGGCCCAAAATGGTACGATAGGAGCCATGAAGTCAACACACCAGGCTGGTTCAAAATTTAAACAATGAATTTTGAACTTTTAATGATACCACTGCATTGAAAGATGGAATAACTGTAACAACTAGGAAGAAAATGACTGTTTTCAACTGTTCAGGGCAAAATATGGGCATTTTGCACTTGATTCTGAATTTTTATTTTTATTTGCAAATCAGACAAAATGAAGCGGGCGAATCCTTTAACCAAGAAATTAAATTGGTGTGGCCTAAGGGGTCACAGAATTTTCACATTCACTCACTCACTCACTGCACGGCTTAGCGTCCGTTGTTCCCCGTCATGCAAGGGTTGGGGTGTCGTTTAGGTCTAATACATTGTAGCTGCTCTCCAGCTGCTTCTGTCTAGCAGATTGGCCTTCTGCAGTTTCAAGCTTTTGACGTCTTCCCTAATACTCTCTACCCATCTCCAGTGGTCGAAATACTTTTTTTCAGCGCTCTGCAATATTGCAGAAGAGTAAAAATTTTGTTCTGCAATTTGGAAATACTTTCTGCAAATACACAAGCCTCCATACTACAATCTTGCAGGTTTATAAGCATGAACTATTGATTCATATGCAAATTAGTGAAGACAAATTTTTGGAAGTCCAAAAGGAAACAAAAGATAAACAAGTCAAGACAAGGTTGATGCAAATTAGTGAAGAAGCTCCTGAAGTGTTGTCTGTCCTTGGGGCCAAAAGCGTAAAATCCCAAGTGCCAATTTTTCCTGCTGCAAAATTGCAGATTGTATAAATTTTTCTTCTGCAATCTTGAAAATCTATCTGCAGATTGCAGACTGCAGACAGGTATTTCGAACACTGCATCTCTTTTTTGGACGGCCACGCGGGTTTCGTCCCTCTACAGGCATTGTCATGACCTTCCTTGGCCAGTTCTGTGGGTCCATCCTTTGTACATGCCCATACCAGCGAAGTCTGTTGTAGCGCAAGACCTCACGTAGACTGCTTACGCCTAACCTACACCTAAGCTGATCACTTGACACCCTATCTGCCAGTCTACTGGAGCATATCCATCTGATCATGGCGTTGTCACAGCTGACTAGCCTTCTAAAGTCTTCCGTGGACACCGCCCAGGTCTCAGACCCATAAAGCATTACGCTTCTGACACAGGAGTTAAAAACATGACTGCAATTTATGAAAGGGATGCTTCGGTCTGCAAGTATGGGAAGGAGCTCGTGGAAGCTCTTCCAGGCCGATTTAATCCTGGCTGTTACGGCGTCTGTGCAGCCCCCCAACTGACCAATCATGTCACCCAAGTAACAGAAAGTAGGGACCACCTTAAAGGTTTCTCCAGCGACAGTAACTTCTTGTGTAGGTTGTACAGGGGAGGGTGAGTTGATTATGCAAATTAGGTCATCATTTCCATAAATGGTATCTGTTGATATTCCTCCTGCCATAGATTAAATAGATTACATGTATAAAAGTACATGTATAATGTAAAACACTAATTATAGAATTTCCTCCTTAATTATGCAAATTAAGTACTCATTTGCATAGTTTGCATATAAGTATGTACAACTCTACCTACCTACACACCAAAAATGATGAAAATACGTTGTTCCTATCTGGACTTATTGGCTTTTAAAGATTTCGCCAGAAACTCCCCTGCAGTTCCAGAACAAGCTGCTAGGGGGACCAAACCCACACCACTTATTCCTGGCAGTAAAAGCTATCTGTCACCAAAAAGTCAAGACCATAGCTTGTTCAGGACAAAAAGATACAAAAACTGGAAGTTCTGCTGCAGTACCAAGGTCATCCACCAGGAGGCCCATATTTGACCTTGACCTTCGTCTTCCTAAGACTTATCAGCATACATGGACCAAATATCATCACAATCCATAAAGGCTTCTAAATATATGCTGACTAAAAATGTGCGGAAACACAAACACATACACAGACACACACACAGACACGCCAAAAACCATACCTCCATTTTTCACGAAGGTAACAACGTACCTGGGAAGACAGCCTCAATGTACCAGGTCATGAGTCCGTACAGGAAGGCATCAAACAGCATCATGATGAGAGAGAAGCCGAAGGTGAAGGAGTCCTGGGGGGAGGGGTTGGTCCAGATGTTGTCCCACTGGATCCCCACCCCCTGCTCCTCAAACCTGGCGATGTATGTACACCCAAAACCAAATGCAACCGATGATAGCAGGCTCTGAGGGGACATGGAAAACAATTCAATTAGTTTTGTTTGTTACCAGTAACCGCCCTACATCCTCTTCTGCAATGTAAAGGCCACAAAAGTCTGCATCAATCCTGAGACTTACAATGCACAGTGTCACGTATAGCGCTAGTAGGATATCATTCATGTTATGATCTGACATAAACTTAAAAGGCATTTATTCTATAATTATTAATACAATAGACCAAAAGAAAGACGGCATAAAAGTATACAATCCAGATCTTTTATCTTTCAGTGTTACAATACAAAGCAAATTAATGGTTCAATGTTAATTTCTTTCCAAATGCTTACACAAATTAATGCAATTATTTCTAAGCAATTGCCACCAAGATCCCTAATATCCCTGAATACTATGATTGTCTTTTCTTACAGAGAATCCCTTAGTGCCATCAGTCATCCGGTCCTCCCACACGATGATAAGCGTGTAAGGCAGGTACAGAACGAAGTAAATGATTCCGCCGCACGCCGCTGCCAGGTTGGCCCGTGAGAAGAATGTGGAAATCAGGAAGCATTGCATGATGGTCGCAATGGCGAAACAGACGAGGAACAAGATGAGGACAAGTGGATTGCTGTTCTGCATCACTGCTCCATACTGAAATCCACAATATTTAAACTGCATGTTAAACTTAGTAAAATACTGGGTCAACTTACTAAAATGCATTTTGGTATTGTAGATGGTAAATATACAAGTCAATCTTTAATTTTTTTTACTCTAGCAGTTTGACGACTTAAAAATGTTACTATACACAGTATTACAATGTGCAATCTGTAAATAGGTAAAAAGACATACATGTACATATTATATATTATTATGATTTTCACATACCCAGCTCAACCGTGCTCTTTTTACACTCAGCCTGTCAGTTTAACAAATTAATGGAACAGTAAAATCTAAGACAAGGAGAGTGTAGTAAAGTAAGGAAATACAATGTCATATACATGTAAAAGAGTGCTGGTTGTCAAGGGTTGGCTACAGGTTTAATATCCTTAAGGCCACACCAAGTAAATTTTATGGATGACGTCCGCGCGCGCATTGATTTTGGCCTGTTCCTAGAAAAAAAAACAAGAACATTCCGCTTCCTGTAACTATGACCAAAGAGTCACGACAGTGCCGCAAATTGTTAGATTGACGTGAACCCCGTAACGCGAAATGGGTAAAGAGCACATGCTTTGTTTCTGCAGGCCTGCAAAAAATGTGATGAAAGAAACAGGACAGGGCGATAACTGCTGTTCCACCTGATTCATTGCTTTTTTGATGATGAATAATTTCTTGCTTGTTACACTGTGTCACCTCATTCAATTTGTGTCCTAACATTTGTCGTCTCTTAGTTTTTTTCTAATCTAGGCATCTTGTTTTTCAGGGCCTTTCTTTTTTTTTTCGCCCTCTCGCATTAGATTTAGGGTCTCCAAAGGACGTCATCCATAAAATTTACTTGGTGTGGCCTAATTGAAAAAAAAAAGATTAATTAAATAGTTTACAGAACTCACAGATTGTAGATTATTCAAATCACAAACTGTTTCATTTCAACATGATTGTGATGATATCTTGAAAGTTCATCTGTGTTGGTAGAAATCATTACGAAGCAAGTTTAAACTGTAATTTCCAACACAATGGAGTCACGTGTGTTATCTGCGTGACGTCACAGAAGCGGTGGATTGCTTGACAAAATTGGAGTTGTACAGCCAAAAATTTGGGTGAGTCCAATTTCTTGTGTTGGAAATTACAGTTTAAACTTGCTTCATGATGATGGTGATGAATCAAGTGACATTCAGAATCATCAGGATTAACAGTTTATATTCTTTTTAATTTTCAGAATTTTCTGGTTGTTAATCATGTAAAACTGTTGTCAACCTGACAAATTAAGAGATATTTTGAATCGATTCTGTTAATTTGGAGGTAATTGACTAAAACATCCATTAGCAACTGAAAGCAATCTACAAGGAAATTGTTACTCAAGCAAGTGGATAGATTTTGACAAACTGTCAGACATTTCAAGTAGCATCCACTACTTTTCATCAGTATACAAAAAGGAGTAGACTGTCGGCTACTTAAAACGTCTGACAGTTGTCAAAATCTACCCACTTCCTTCAGCAACAATTTCCTTGTGTAGATCTATCTCATCGTCCTGTTCTAACTTTCATCGACATATCCAAACCAATCATCGATCTTGATTTCATTTCATTGATTCCTTTTTGTTTTCCCAAAGACATGTGGTTTAGTACCTTCAGCATCAAGGCCAAGAGAATGGCCGATACAAAAATGACGACCATACTGTTGATGAACCAGGCCACCCAGTGGACGCCATTGCTCAATCCCATAATCCTCATCACTTCTTTTAGGTGCAGTTCCTTCTCGTAAACAATTCTTTTGATCACCATGGCAACAGAGTATATCCATGCCAGGCACATGGCCAGAGGAAGCATCGTGGCTGTTGCGCTTAAAAACCTACGATAGGGTATTTACCATAATATTGAATAACATGATCATAATTTTGTATTTCACAGTGATGCGGTTGCACCAGTTTGGTAAAACATTCTACAGGCTGCTTCATTTGAGACTCTCTGAATGAGGGACCGAAATGACTTGGTTAGTACAAACTGTCGTTTGTTGTTTGATAATATTATAATGTTTATTGTGAGTGTTAACAGCTGTAGATACACCCATCTGTATCTAGGAAATGCAGTTAGAGGGTCAAAAATCCAAGCTAAGAGAAACAAAACAATGAAAAAAAGGAAAAAAAAAAACAATGTCATGTTACTGTTAGAAGTTCAAGCTTAAAAGATGGTTTAGACTGCAACATGTAAACTGGAAAGAAACTGAGGGTAAAAGAAACTAGTACAAGTATGGAAACCAAGAAGAATTGTGCTGCTTCTATGATCAATATTAACACCCCGACAGCGTTAGTAAAGCAACAACTGTACGCAGTCACCTGACAAAGAATGAGTCTCTGGATAGAAGGTCAACTAACATGATGACATTTTTCTAACAAGAAAGCAAACACTTTGATTTGTTGCAAATAGCAACTGACAGGTCAAAACTTTTAGGTTTAAAAATATTTCAAGATGAATAACTGACTTTACCTTACAACATTTACATGTACAAGGTGTCACCTGACATGTATACATTCTTGAGAAAACTGTATCAGCAAATATTTTAAAAGTTATCTGAGGGTCCAGTTAGTTGTCCTTCTTGGTTATTAGTGACTGTGTTAGCGTGACCACAGACTAAAGACGCTACCTTCAGCGTCGCTGTCAGCAAACAAATGGTGAGGAACATGACGGTGATGCTGGTAATGAACCAGGCCGTCCAGTGCACCCCGTTAGTCAGGCCCATCATCTTCATCACTTCCTTCAGACGCTCCTCCTTCTCATACACAATGCTCTTGATGATCATTGCAACAGGGTAGATCCAACTCAAGGTCATGAACATGGGGATGGAGCGTGATAATGCCCAGACAAACCTAGCGATAATTGTAAAATTGCAGTCAAAACAACCATGATTTAATGATAGTAGATATTACTGTAACACATTGTATACAATCATTTTATGATACTTCATGAAAAAGAACTAAAAGCGAAATATATTGAGTGGGCTTAAATTGACTATTAAGCAGGGCTCGAAATACTGGCTGCATGTGCACCTTAGTGCACCCAAATTTGGACCTGTGCACCCAATTATTTTATGTGGGCGCACCAGTACACCCAAATATTTTCGTAGGTTTACTTAATGCTATCATCATAATGATATTAAATGTATTGTAGTATACAGCATATTCTTATATTATTTTTCTAATACTAAGATATTAAAATATCTTAGTATTAGAAAAATCATAAATCAATTGTTAATACCTTCTTAAGAATTAAAACATTATTAGTTTTTGCTGACATTCTTACTTTACCTTATATTGTGCACCCAAAAAATTTTTTGTGCACCCAATTTTTTAGGTTGGGTGAGTGCACCAATTCTCAAAAATGAATTTCGAGCCCTGATTAAGCAAACATTCACTCCCTGAATACCTGTGTTACTGTACAGACTTTCCCTCTAAAGCGTTGGTCACAACTCGCCGTATGTGGCTATGTGCCCTTTGTTCGTATGTTATTTGGGAGGCCACGTCTGCTACATTTTTTCTGAAAACGTAGGGTGATCGGCCGAGGGAGTACGTCACTCGCACAGTTGCGCAAGGTGTAAGTACGTGGTCTGCACGCCACGTCTGGCCATGAGCGGTTGCTTGTATCGTTCGTTGCGCAAGTGGTGAGTTGTACGTGCTTACAACCTATGATCTCTTGTGCGGCGTACGTACAGTTTCTTTACTCATTCGCACGTTATCAGTGCGTGACGGTGCGATGAACCATCTGATTCTTCTTCCCTCCTCCTGTTATCTTCCTCACTAGCCCCCCTGTTGTCTTCCGCAGCCCGTTTCTTTGGGTCTTGTCTGGTTGTGGGTGCAGATGCCTTCTTCTGTGTCTTCTTGAGCACCTTGGAGACAGGTTGGCAGTCGTCTGTAAAGTTATCTTTATATACTGTGAATTGCCCGTGAGAACAGTTCACGGAGTCCTTGCGTTGTACGCTCATAGGCTGTACGGATCATGCGCATCACCCGTACTTGCACATACGGGTGGTGAATCCGCAGGCTGCACGCAGAAAAAGTTTTTCATGTACGTGCACTTAAAGTTCTACGTCGTGTCTGCGTGCTCCGAAATCTCTAGGATTCCGTACGGAGGCGGCACTCACCACTTACGGATTCCCTACGTTTGCCCACGTTTTTGCACGTAGACAGCACACAGAAGCAAGTACGGCGGGTTGTGACCGACGCTTTACTCTGTTTTCATGACATGTTGACTTTCCAGGTGAGCATTCAAGGACATACATATGGTTAAATTGGGATGGCCTAATCATTTGGGCACTTTAAACCATTCCTTCCTGGCACAATAATAGATGAAATTAGAAAGAAATGTCATTGTTTATCAGGGTGACTCTGTAAAAAATGGAACTTTATGCTTTACTTAAGCTTGCAAAATATAATCAATGAACAACTTCAGTAAACCACACAATGCTACTTAAAATTTTCTTTTCAGCTTGCTGGAAATTTAAAAAGATACGGAAATGACAAAAAATAATTAAGAACTATAAGCTACACAATTCTTAACTTCAATAGCATGCAAGACACCTTACAAAAGAAGGCAATGATAACATGCTCAAATTACATTTAAATGACCATTGTCCTACTTACGAGTCCTTCGTGTAACATGGATACGGGAACTGTTGGAGATAAACCCCTGTGATTGGTTCCTTGTCCTTTCCTGTCAGAGCACGAATGATCCCCTGGTCGATCATGTCCTGCAGGTAAACAAACCCTCCCCGGATGTACGCCATGTCATTGAAGGGTCGATCCCTGGCCCCAGGCCTCCAATACCTTTTTCAGACAAGACATTCAGGAATCATAACAAACTTGTTATACTTACATTTGCACCATCATGAAGAGGGAGTATATTGCTAGTGCTAGCTTGACAATGTGTATGTTTGTCTGTAAACCACACATGTACATTCATGTATACTTTTGTTTACCAATGCTTAACGCATGGGATACACAAAACTAGGGCAAGATCATGTTACAAAGATCTCAATTCAATTCTGGCTGCTACAATTTTACTTTCAAAATATAAAGTTTTCTGATAATACTTGGCACATAATCATTTATTCATAATTATTATAAAGTTCTTCGGAAGACTTCCGACAAACTTTGACCCAATGCTGACGTCACACGTGGCTAAAAGTCACGTGCCCACGGCACTTGGGTCGTATAGCTGATGAAGACTGAGCAATTCAGTTCAAAATTTCTGGTGAGTTAATTTCTTTTTTGAGCTGGAGAACAATTTAATATTCTTCAATCTTGAAGTTTGCAGTACTCATTATCATAGATACATGTAGATGGCATCATTGTAAGGTGCGACACATACCTGTCATATATTCTGGTGGTGTGGGTGACTACATCTATGTCCATCCTGATCTTGTATTCCACATGTGGTGGGATCACTTCCTCATCATCAGAGTCATTCATGTTTGAGAATACAATACCTGAGTGTGGAAATGAGAATTGGGTCCACATCACAAAAAAACAATAATATAGAGTACAAAATCAACAGTTCTTACAAAGTGTCCAGTGCTTTTTTGAAATGGCATTCAAAACTATCAACCTAAGAAAAGAAATTGGATCAAATGACTACATTGTACAGTAGGTACAAAATTCAATTTTGAGTACTTTGAAAACACCCCATGTTGGAACAATTGCAATATGGCTAACACCAGCTTTGCAGGCACATGCAAGGCTGGGGCTGGTTATACAGCACAGTAATAATCTGTCACACTTAAATCATTCATGTTTGAATCTCAATTTACTTACCTGCCCACAAGGTGTTGTCAGCGATAAGTTCATGCCCCCGTACTGTAACATCTTCCTCCGTTGCCACAGGCTCAAACTTGTTCAGCTCCAAACACTGATTATGAACAACACAGTTTTCAAATGCATTTATTCAATGCTCTAAAGAGAAGCAGAATTACTCTAAGATTTGTATGTGCATGTACATGTATAGCCCAAAGCATACAGCATGGTTTTAATCCATGTTTCTTTACCAAATGCAGTCATGTACGTCAAAGGGGAAATTTAAGTACTTTTTGCTCAGTTTTGGCCCAGTTTCACCATCTCAAGACCTACATTTCTCTCCACTATGGAGCCCTACGAAACCTCATTGCCCTTATCGAGGGCGTCCAGCGGAGGGCTACGAAATTCATCCTAGGGCCCTCCTCTGGGAAACTCGACTATAAGTCACGTCTATCCTGTTTGGGCTGGCTGCCTCTGTCTTACAGAAGGGAGATTTCCGATGTGGTAGCATTTGTTAAGTCCCGTGCAAAAGTGTATAATACTGACATAGCGAAGTTAGTTAACTTCTGGTCTAGAGTTCCTCGGAGCTCTAGAGCTCACATGCTTGTCCCACCGAGACTGAAAACTTCGTCTTATGCCTCATCCTTCCTGCTACAAGTCATAACAATATATATATATATATGGAATAAACTGGACACCGAGACCAGAGTGTTGGGAGCTAACGCGTCTAGTCCAACTGATGTGGCGGCTTTCAAGAGAAAGTGTCAGTTGTCTATGCCAAGTACATGTACATGTAGATTCAACCAATATTTCAGTGTGGATATGCTGTGTTCCTCGGTGCTGTCGTGTGGCTGCACCACCTGCCGTGCTTCTAGGCCTGTTAAGTCTACTTTTAATTGTCATGTATATATCAGACTCTTTTGTATTTTTTTATGCTTATTGTCTATTTTTTTGTTGGCATAGTGGCCTTGAAAAGGTGTACTCAGGTCCACCTGTTCCACCATGCCTTCCATGTACATGTGTATGAGGTGAATTGTAATAAATATAAATAATTTTGTTCACAATCAAGTAGACTACATGTATATTATAGTATGTAATGTCTTGCGGAGTGAAAGACTTCATACAGGTGGTTGTATTATATTGTATTGTACTGGGTGGGCTGCCTACTCTCTCTTTGCAGTCAAGCTTACAATTATTGGGGCTTAATCATAAGGGTCTGGAGCGGCTGTTATTCGGCACTAACTCAGGTGACCTCAATACGATCCCAGGAATGGCCATTGGACTGTGAGGTTTGAACCACTCATACCAGGAAGGTTAGATTTTGATATACATGTATGTGGTGGGTTCTTTAACATGTGTGGGGTGTGGCTCTCCCAAACATGATAGGACCTCCATTTAACGTTCTATCCGGTAGTCAGTGAACATCAGGTTTGTAACGAAGATGGGCAAAACTGATTGAATTATTGGCGAAACTGACTGGGCGAAACAAACGAAGATTACACTCTTAGGTTCGAACTTCTTCAAAGCAGGAAACACCTGTCAATCAAATATATGTACGTGTAGTGGCACCATGGGAAAGGGACTTGCCCCAAAAATAATTCTAAATTCAGTTTTACTCAAACTAGTGGTTTTGTTGATATACATGTACGGTCGCCAATTTTGTGCCTTGCAGAAACTTTTTGATGCTGTGGCACACCGACATACATGTAACACATTATGTATTTGACCGCATTTATTTACTCCCAGGGCACAGGAAATTGACCTTCATCTTGCGTTGTTCTAGCGGAGAAGAGAAAATGTCTGACAATTTTAGCATTAGATTTTTGTTTGTTAAATCATACAAAGGCATCCATGCAACTATCATTTTTCCAACTTGTTCATAGCTATGTGAGTTGTTTATTGGAACCAGATGAATCTGAATAAACCAAGGAGGTTATAAAGTTAACGAGACCGCGTGCACCCACTGTGCTGATAATCCCCAATATTCACTAATTATCTACAAACTAGAGTTCGACAATCTCATACCTCCATGACATGTTTAGTGCTTTCGTAAAGCTTATGCATAGTGATGATCACATAAATGGCTTACATTTACAATCCTGCTCATTAGCAAAATTTTTATACAAATTATTCACATAGCCCCTACCTAGTAACATACAACACACTGGTGAAATCCTTACCATTTAACATGGACAACGTATGATATTGTTGGTTATATGCAAGTATGACCTCTGACATACCTTTGCCAACTCATGTTTGCCATCCAAGCTGACGAATTATACATTTTTTTACTGCCAATATGCAAATTATAAGAGCCCATTTACATATATTATATCATTTGATCATATTCTCCGCCCAATGACAGGGTTATCTTAAGAAATAAGGCTATTCTAGCGTTT